ACTTCTGGCGGAGTCTTGCCTGGCAAGCCATAAGCCAATGTAATGGCCAAGACAATCCACCTCAAGAGTGTCTGTGAGGAGGAAGGAGAACCCTTTCGTGGGCCATGGAAACACACAAAAAGTCTGGGAAAAGTACAGAAGTCCTTGGTTCTGGAAACGTAGAATGCCAGGGCACGACGAACATCAAGGTAGTGGAGCATGCACTTGACATCAGAAGATGAATTAGGAAATAACATTGAGAGAATTAAAGGTTGATTAACATGGAAATCAGAGATCACTTTGGGAAGGAAAGACGCATCTGGATATAACACAACCTTGTCAGGAAAAAATTGAATATAAGAGGCATCAGATTGAAGAGCAGCCAGTTTGCTTGCTCGATGTGCAGAAGTTATCGCAACAAGGAACAAAGTTTTAATAGAAAGAAGTTTGAGGTGCACAGAACCCATGGGCTCAAACAGAGGATGAGTCAGTGCACGAAGAATGACCTGAAGAGACCACTGAGGAAATACGGATGGGTCGAGCATGCGCACCACGGGCCAACATCCTGCAAATCACATCTTTCTAAGCTCTAGAATATTCTGAGGAGTCCTGTGCAGGCACAGTAAAACCCATTTGTGTATATTCACAGAGGCCATGAAGAAAAAATTATGTTTACTGGAGAAAGCAAATATAGTATCTCAGTCCCATCTTCGAAAGTCTATTTATTTAGAATACTGTTTCTCTGCCAGATAAAATCTACATAATAAAATAATAAAAGGACCTTTTCAAGGCACATGAAAAACTTCATTTTGGTTAGTTTGGATTAAAGACTGATGGCTTGGATAGTGATTGCAAAGAATCTTCAGCATTATATCCTGACCTGTTTGTGGAAGACGATGGCTCCGTAGTTTAAAATGATACATGTAAAAATGTGTGTTATAATTCATGCTCATACACATGTTCAGTTCTGACCAAATGGATGCAGGGGTAGGGAAAATGGGCACCAAAGTTGGTAAAAACGATTTTTTTTAAAAAAATCAGTTAATTATTTTGATTTAAATAGTCAACATCAGTTATTTTTAATTAAACCAATTTGATTTAAGTCAAATCTATCCTGGCAGGCATATGTATGTACAGTGGTGCCTCACATAGCGAGGTTAATCCGTTCTAGATTAACCTTCGCTATGCTGAAGCATCGTTGAACGGGGCAGGGAATTCCATTGGAACGCATTAACATGGTTTAATGCGTTCCAAATGGGCCGAATACTCACCGTTCAGCGATGCTTCTTAATGGACGGCAGCCATTTTCGCGCCCTCCCCTCGCTTAACGAGGGCGCAAAAATGCTGCGCGCAGCCATTTTGGGCCATTTCCAGGCTTCCGGTGGCCATTTTGGCCGCTGAACAGCTGATCATCGGGCTTCGTTTTGCGAAGATCGGTAAGCGAAACGCTTACCGATCTTCGCAAAGCGAATTTTGCCCTATCAAAAAAACGTTGAACGATCGCATTAGCGATCCCAAAAAGGGATCGCTATGCGATTTCGTCGTTGTATGGTGCGCTCGTTAAGCGAGGCACCACTGTATATGTATTTTAAAATATATGTATTTTAAAATTGCTACACAATGTGTTTTATACAAGTTTGGAAGAGATGGGCTATATTTTTGCCACTGGTGCCTCCTCTAATATTGAGTGTTTTGAAGAAAGGGAATCATATTTAGTGCTCAGATTACAACAAATGTAGAAGTCAGAAGACTTCTACATTCATTGTAATCTGAGCATTAGGGGAGGCACCAGTGGCAAAACCATAGACCATCTCTTCCAAACTTGTATAAAATACATTGTGTAGCAATTTTAAAATACATATATTCTGGTTTGTATTTTTAACTATGTGGTCATACACATAGTTAAAATTCAATATGACCTGAAGAGACCACTGAGGAAATGGAGGTCGAGTAGGTGGACGCATGTTTCGCAATCCTCTCAGAAAACTCTTTAACGTAGATGAGAAAAGAAATGAGAAGCTTCAGATCCTTCCAGTTGGTATGAAACTATCACAGAAATATAAACCTTTAACGTAGAATGGGCCAAGCCTTGGTCAAACAGATAACGAAGGAACTTGAGAAGACTGTTCAAGGAAACTGGGACTGTAGACAATTTCTGCGATCCAGCAAATTTGAGGAAAGAGTTCCATTTATATGAGTACCGTAATTGAGTAAAGGGCTTCCTTGCTCTATTCAGGACTTCAGCCACGTTGGGAGAATTCTCCACGCAGTGAGGTGTAGAGAGCTGAGGTTGGGATGGCAAATCTAACCCTCGTCCTGAGTGAGAAGGGAAGGTTGAAGGGGTAATCTGAGAAAGTCTGAAGCCATGGCTCTGAGAGTGGTAAACCATGGTTGACAAGGCCACCACAGTGTTATCAAAATGGCATCTCCATCCAGCTGATGGATCCTGATTATCGTCCTCTAGATCAGTGGTCCCTAACCTTGGGCCTCCAGATGTTCTTGGACTACAACTCCCAGAAGCCTTCACCACCACCTCTGCTGGCCAGGATTTCTGGGAGTTGAAGTCCAAGAACATCTGGAGGCCCAAGGTTGGGGACCATTGCTCTAGATGAATGGAATGGGTGGAAAAAGATAAGTAGGCTGTCGTCCCAATCTACCATGAAAGCATCTCCTAGAGAGTTGTCTCCTCTCCCTGCCCATGAGCAGTATCTGCTGCACTTGGTGTTGGTCTGAGTGGCAAAGACGTTGAGACCTGGCATCCCCCACCAACTGCAGAGAAGGGAGAAGATGGAGTGACCAGTAGACGCTTGGAAGGATGGTCTATGAGAGGGTCGAACTGGGATAGGTACCATGCTTGCAAGGACCTCATCTTCAGTCTCGCATGTTGAAGAACAGATGTAGTTGAAGCCATCAGGCCTAGCAGGTGCTGTGTATGGTGAGTGGTGACTGTAGTGTAACGCCAGAAGGGGCAGATGGCTCGCCTTGAGTATTCTCTCTGGAGGGCTAAACACCCTGGCAACGATGGAATTGAGATGGGCCCCAATATGATCGGTGGCTCCAGATGAGATTCTTTGTGATTGACTTGAATGCCGAGATCCGCCAAAGTCTGAAGAACAACGGTAGTGTCCCTTAGGGCTGCGCTGTGTGGTTTTGCTACTACCAACCAGTTGTCTATATATGGGAACACTGTGATGTTGTATAGATAAAGATAGACAGCAACTGGAACCACACACTTTGTGAAGGTCCTCAGAGCAGCAGACAGGCTGAAGGGCACAGAATTGATAAGCAGTGTCTATGAAGAGGAAGCGGAGGTATTTGAAATGATTTTTGTGAATTGAAATGTGGAAATAAGCGTCCTGGAGATCTATAACCATGAACCAATCACCTGGTTGAAGCATAGGGATGACTGATTTGAGGGTGACCATGCAAAAGCACCTTGGATGAATGTAGGTGTTCAATAGTCACAGGTCTAAAATGGGACGGAGGCCTCCATACTTTTTGGGGGCTGTGAAGTAGCAGGAGTGGAAGCCGTTCAGAACATCTTGGGGAAGCACTCTCTGGGTAGCACATTTTTGAAGAAGCAGTGTAAACTAGAGCAGGTGAGTACGTTGTGGGTCTTACATGACCGAGAGGAGGAAGCTCCTTGAATTCCAACAGGTAAAGGAAATGAATAATGGCTAGCACCCAAGTGTCCTTAGTGATGGTGGACCACGTGTCAAAAAAAGGTGCCAGTCAGGGATATTGGGGATAGTCTGATAGAGGAGAGTCAAAAGTATTGTTTGTTTTGGTCATACACATAGTTAAAATTCAGTATATACACATACAGTTCGATATTATTTTAAATAATTTTTAAAGTGCTTAAAAACTGGATTAGATGCTGAGAATAACAGATAGTGATTTCCCCTTTAATAGGAAATTTAAGCAGTGATCCTATAGTTACTGCACTCCTTGGCACCTCCTTTCTTGGTGATTGGAATGTATACTGAACATTGCCAGTCTATGGGCCGTTGCTTTGTTTTCCATATTTCTTTAGCATGTTTTGTTAGGATTTTGACAGATTCAATCTTCATGGCTTGAAATGCTTCTTTGGTATTTCATTTACCTGTGGTGATTTATTTCTTCCTAGTGCTTTCAGAGCAGCTTCTGGACTTTCTAAAACTGGAGATTCTTCATCATAGGATTCCTCTTCAAAAGCATTCTATTATCCTTTTATCTCTTCTGTATAAATTTTTAGTCCTATTGGGCCAAATGGATTTTAGCTACTAATTTCACTGAAGAAGAAAACTGTGTCCAATTTAAAAAAATGGAATCAGGCCAGTTGCTTTTTAAGTTTCTAGTATTTTATATACTGGAGCTTGGATCTAGAGCAGGGGTTTTAAACTCAATTTACCTGGGGGCCGCTGGAGGCAGAGTCTGGGTGAGGCTGGGCCGCATCAGATTTTCCGCCAAACAGAGCAAGAGCCCGAGGAAGCCGCCCAAGAGTTTCCTTAGCCAGCAGACAGGCGGGCTGGCTGCCGTTCTGGATGGAGGGGGCAAGAGGGGCTGTTTTGGGGGGGAGCCAGCGAGCGAGGCAAGGCTTTTTTTACTCTTGACAGCAGAGGATGTGTGGGTGCTTTGGGGGGGCAGGCAAGGGTAGGGCCACAAACTATCGCCGGCGCGCGAGGCAAGGCTTTTTTTACTCTTGACAGCAGAGGATGTGTGGGTGCTTTGGGGGGGCAGGCAAGGAGAGGGCTACAAACTATCATCTGGGGGGCCACAAATGGCCCCCGGGCCGCATGTTTGAGACCCCTGATCTAGAGTTAGCTATACTGTATTGACTATTCTGCTGATTTACAGAAATCTTCTTCAGCATGTCTACATCTGATCCCACAACATACAATATTTTGAAATCCAATTTGAGTGCTTTTGAACTGAGTGGAGCGATAATTCTAAAATGAATTTGGAGATATAATTGTTAGAAAAGTTGCAAATTCTAAGAATTTGTTCCTTTCCAGCTTAAAGAACAAGACACATTTTGGGGAACACAGCCCATTTTATTCACTGCCTCTGAAGTACAAGTAGAGATAGTCTGTGGGCAAAGCTGGTAGACAGAAGTCAAATCCGCCACCCCCTTGCTTAATTATCCACATCTGGTAGTTCTGGCTTTCACAATGCCACTTTATAACTCTTTCGTACAGAAAATATAAGTTGCCTTACAAAACATCAAAATAAACAGAGAAGCAAAACATCCTAGGATCATTATATCACAGAATGGTTTATGATTATGATCTTTTACAAGAAAAGGATAAGTTGCTTATGACATTTACTTAGGGCTAATTCATGCAATAATGGAAAATGCTATCAAGGAACCAAAGCACAGTCGTAGCTACTAGAAGTCAACGGCTGTGCAAATTATTTTGTACAAAATATAGTGTATTCAAATAACAGCATACTGCCTAGAGAAGATTAACTCTCCAGCTGGTCAAATAGGAGATTTATTTTGACAAACATTCTTGACAGCTGCCTGAATCATTGGGTGACAAACCCACTGACTTTCCCCTCTGGAAAACTAAGTGGCATGCAATGCTGTTAAATTCTTTTTAGTGCAGGCCAAGTAAAAAGAAAATCACTACCACCTGAACAATGAAGAGCCATGAATCAACACAAAGAGGAACAACCCACAGAGTCTTATCAGCAAATGCACCTGCTCATGACAGACTAGTGATACAAGGCCCTTGAGCCAATAAATGAGTTGACTGTATTGGAAATGAGAATCCATAACGTGTTTCTAATAATCCTGAAAATATTATGATTTTGTAAAGCTTTTAAAAAGATTTTTATTGCTAGCTTCCTACCTGCTGTGCTACTTTAAAAGTAAGGCCCCCTTTTAAACAAAGTAGGAAAAGATACTACTATCTGTTCCTCCCTTGAAAGTGCTACCTAACAGTTTATGAATCACTTCCTTTTCCCACTGTTGTTTGCATCTTTGAAGGTCATGACACACTCACTTCCAGGTACAGATACTGACTCTTCTTTACAGCCATTTTTTTCACAAACTGGAGGAACTGCATGTGCCATTATGGTTGATAATTGAAACCAGAACACAAACGATATAGGGAAGTCCTTCAGCACTTGTTCACAGCCTGGAAATAAAATTTCACATTGGATCAAATTAAACCTCATAGTGTTCACCTAGACTTATTTTAGACAGAACTGTACAGGACTGTACTTAAGACACATTCCCAAATGCAAACAGAAGGGAGAAACATCACAGAACATAGGACTTGCTTCCAAGGAAACATGCTTAGCATTGTGTTATAAATATATTTAAAATTTGCTGACGTCTGGAGAAGCTTCTTGAACTTACAGGGGAGATTTGAACTGCTTATTTATATAGACAATAAAATTAATTCAATGAGTCATATTAAAAGAAGTTATTACTGTTAATCATAACCTAGTGAGTTCATCAGTTCAAATGCCTTTACACACAAAGATACATTTTATATACCGTTCCCCCCAAAATTAGACCTAACCTGAAAACAAGCCCTAGTATGATTTTTAGGATGCTCTTAATATAAGCCCTACCCCCCAAATAAGCCCCAATGAAGTAAAACTCCGCCCTCCACCATTGTGCTGCAACCAGAAGTTGTTGACATGTGTTTGAGTAAATTGTTGTACATGAAGAAAATGAAACACCCCATGAAAATAAGCCCTAATGCGTTTTTGTAGCAAAAATTAATATAAGACCCTGTCTTATTTTCCAGGAAACATGGTATCTACACTGTAAACCCTTACCCCAGTACAGTCTATTTTCCTACTTTCTGAAGTTTTTTTTCACTCATTCTCTCTCTCCCAATCCACATACACATCCAGTTAGGAAATTGGTAGCATTCATTTAACACTCTGGTGTTTGCAGCTCTTACAATTTCAGATGTGTTTCAGAAGAAACAAATGAGGCTCTGAGGGAACTGATTTCAAGATACTGAATAACCAATTCAGTTCTTTCTTATTAATGAAGGAAATTAGTAGTATCAGTGTTAAACATAGTGTTTTAGCTTTTAACCATTTCAGAGATCTTTAAATTACAACCAAGAAAGGTTAAAACCTTTTCGTTTTCGTTTTCTTTTATAAATTTATATAAATTAATAAGAATTGACATAGAGATTAGAGGCACTTGGCTGAGGGGAGTGTGCCCCTTTGTGTTGGATCAAGTGATTATACTGGCAGAAAGCGGACAAAAATGATGCTGACCAAGTCAGAACAAATTTAAGCCAGCCCTGTCAATCAAACAATTGAAGATGATTCCTTGCTCAATAAAGACAATTTTACAACATGCTTTCCCATACTAAGCTTTACATCATATAGTCACTGAATTTAAATCTCAGTTCATCTTTTCCCAATCCAACATAAACTTCAGGATAAATATCCAATGTAGTTACTCCCTAAACCAGGAAATCTGTAGTATTTCTGCAACCTTTGTTCTGCAACAAATCTAAATGCCACATTAATTTCAGGTTAGAAAAACAGCATCTTAGTATGAGATTTTATTAAGTAAAATATGATTTATTTATTTTAAACAGTGCATCAGTAAATTTCAACAAAAAGAACAGACTTCATTTTTGTTTATTCATGGATTTGTTTGCAAACATAATTGAGAACAAAATCAGCAACACTTTAAATCACATTTATTCCTACTAGTGCAATACCAAATAGTGTTGCTGTTACATACTTTTAGTGTCCATTTATATACTAAAAAGTTTACAGAAACAAAATGACAAGATTCCATTCACAAAAAGTAAGCAGGGTTTCCACAGTTAATTATATTTTATATAAAAAGTGAAATTAAGTACAATTTACAAAATTGCAACAGTAATTATAATTTCACAAAAATAATTTAATGCTCTATATACTCAGAAATTGTAGCTGAAACTGCCCATGACAGTATGCCATACAGAACAGCAGCAGAACACATGTGAAGGCAGCTCAAGAAAAACATGATTTCCAGATTCATTTAAGGTTTATTGTTTCAGCTTCTATTTCTTTTTTTCAAAAACAGGCTAGAATTTGGCACAATTTGTATCTCTGAAGCTAATATAATAATACAGTTGTAATTCCAGCTTTGTGTCCACTACATGGACAAGTGTAGTGCTTTACAGGAAGAGGCAATGTATCTGGCCTGTCAAAATATTGTCCACAAAAAAACTTTCTACCCATGGAGAAACAGCCTTTCCACTGCACTAGAAAAGCACAAAGCTTGCATGAGGAAAAATGACGGCTTTTCCAAAGAATGGACACAAAAAGAGAAAAGCCATCTGCTTGCAAACAGCAAAAAGAAAGTTCTTGTCTCAGGATTGTCACCAGAAAGAGGATATGTTGTAGCAGCCAGATTAAATCCTTTTTTCTTTGCTGGTCAATGACCGTAATAAACATTTATTTATTTATTTATTTAGATTTTGTGTTTTTTTCTTAAACTACAACATAAAAATAAACATAAAATACATAAACCAAAATACAAATCGTCTGTGTTTCCCACCACCATAGTCGGGACCTCTTGCAGTAATCCTCTTCTTCCTCTATCTATCTTTCTTCTTCTTCTTCCTTTAGTGTCCTCTTCTCCAGAACTGCATTGATTCTTGATTTGGAGCTTTCCCTTTCCCTCTTGTTAGCAATACCGTATTTTTTGCTCCATAAGACGCACTTTTCCCTTCAAAAAAGTGAGGTGAAAAGTCTGTGCATCTTATGAAGAAAATACATTGCGTTTGGTCCCCTCTAGTGGTCATTCTGATAATTATACCTTTTTCACAACGCTGATCTGGAAGGACGCTACCTCAAGCTTGCTGGGACTAGGCAAAATGGTGGTGGCTTAACAGACCCCTCCCCCCAGTACTGTACTCATTAGTAGCACTGATACTACAGGGTATCCGTAGCAGCCCTGTAGCACCAGTACTTCTTACTGGACAGCCGGATCATGTGACCAGCCAGACGCTGGGGGAAGCAGAGAGAGAAAGAGAGAAAGAGAGAGAGAGAGAGAGTGAGGAGAGCTCCACGGAGGAAGGGAGAAGACTCGTCCAGGTACCGTAAATTACATAATAGAGAGGAATTCCTGGCTGGATTGCTGACTGGTGACATTAACAGGCACATGAGGCACTGTTGGTCGAAAAGTAGGATTTGTTTCAGTTGCTCACTGAGTGAAAGGCTTTTAGTTCTTTTGAGATTTGTCATACTATTCAAAGCAACCCACTCTAATGGTATCTTAAACCTGAATTTTTGATACTTTACACTGATGTATTGCGCCTTGCGGGGGTCTACTTCACTCCCCTAATGGTGAACATGATTCAAAATGTATTATATAAAGTAATAGACCTCCTCACGTGGGACCACTCTGCCTATAGAGATACCATACAACTTTATTACACTATTTGGTTCAGAATATTTTTTCCTGTTTTCCTCTAAAAATTAGCTTTGTCTTATGCTGAGGTGCATCTTATGGAGCGAAAAATATGGTATTCCAAAAATCTGCCCCATATATCATAGAAATTATTGTTTTTCATCTCGCCTTTCTTAACCTTTAAGTTACAAGCTAACTTCTCATTTATAGCAATGTTCCATATTTCATTTTACCATTCTTCCACTCAAAATTCAGACTTTGATTTCCAATCCCTAGCTATTATTAATCTGGCTCTGTTAATAAATTGGTAATCAATTCTCTAGTCATCTTATATTCCACATTCTCAAATGTTGATAACAGACCTATCTCAGGATTAAATTATATATCTTTTTCACATATGTCATTTAGTTCTTTAAAGATTAATTTCCAAAATCTTTTTTGCATTTCCACCACACATGAAAGTATGTACCAATTTCCTTCTCACATTTCCAACAGACGTTCAGATAACTAGTGATAATTTTATTCAATTTTGTTGGTATCAAATACGATCTTAAACCAAATTTGAAAAAAAATTCTCTTATTCTCACCAACATAAATCGTAAAACCCTCATTTTCCACATCTTCCTCCATTCTTCATTATTTATTCTTTTTCCTAAGTCTTGTTCACACACTACCTTCAATCCTTCTTAGTCTCTTCTTCTTCTAGATTAAACAGGAATCTATAAATTTTACTTACTGCACCCTTTACTGAATCAGTCATCTGAACATCTACATATAATAAAAATTGTTCATACTTCGTATATTCTCTACTTTTATTGTATTTCTTTACCCATTCATTAATCCATCTTTCTAATTGCATATAATTCAACCATGATATATTCTTATTTTGAAGGATTTATTTCATTTGATCTTTTGATCTCATTTTATACAACCACTCTTTTAATCTAATCACTTTTTCCTTTAAATAATACTGCATAAACTTTCATATTGGCAGGAAAATTATCTATTTCAGTCACTAATCCTAATGGATTAGGATTATTTCTATACTTGTACCAGATATTTAACATAGTCTTTAAAACATATTAATTTCGCTTATTTTATATTTCTTTGTCATACCAAATAGATGTTTTTCAATATCCACCTGTAATTCTGATAATTCCATTTTCTATCAAATTAACCTTTATGGGTTATATATAATTTCCCCAATGAACCTCAACTGATTAACCAAAGAATAATTTTTTATATTTGGTATAACTATACCTCCTTTTTTGTTGTTTTATACCAACACAGTGGTGCCTCGACTTACGAACTTAATCCGTATTGGAATGGTGCTCGTAAGTCAAAATGTTTGTAAGTCGAAGCACCATTTCGTATAGGAATCCACCGAAAACCAATTAATCTGTTCCAGCTTAAGAAAATGATCGCCAAAAAACAAAAACAACAGCAAAACAAAAAAAAAAACCCACAAAAAAACCACAGCAAGCCCGGTTGGAAGGCACTCCATTGCTGAGGTTTAAGAAGAAGAAAAAAACCTCCAGAAACAAACACTAAAGCCACTTCCATTGCTGAGGTTTAAGAAGAAAAAAAAACCCCAAAAAACAAATAGCAAAGCCACCAACAACACAGCACAGAAACATATGCAGCCAAAACCCACCCAGAACAGTTTTTTAAAAGGAGAAAACAGCAGCTTACTTCCCTGCAGACACACACACAATCTCACTCTGAAGCAGGGGGCTCTCCCAAACCTCTGACGAC